GGCGACTGACCAAGAACCTGCTGAAGGAGCGGAACGAAGTACGGCTGCGGCCGCGTAGCGCCGCCAGAACCAGCAGAGAGACCACCAGTAGCCTCAGCTCCAGGGCCACCAGCGACAGCGCCCGCAGGACCAGCAGCAGCTCCAACGCCAGGGTCCCCAGCACCAGCAGCACCACTCCGGAGACTGCAGCGCCGAGCGTGCCACTCTCGGAGTCGCTGGGGAGAGGGTAGCTCCCGCCGAGGCGGGGAACCACGAGCACCAGCTGCAGCAGCACCTCTCCTGAGGCTGCAGTACCGCGAGTACCACTCATGCAGCTGCTGGGAAGAAGGAGGGTCTCTAGGCGTCGAACGCCCAGGAGTAGCACCCCCAGGCTCAGCACCCTCAGTCGCAGCACCCCCAGGCTCAGCACCCTCAGACGTAGCACTCTCAGGTCCAGCACCCCCAGGCTCCGCACCCCCAGGCTCCGCACCCCCAGGCTCCGCACACTCAGGCTCAGCACCCCAAGCAGGACGAGAGTCGACAGCTACCTCGACAGGCTCAACCGGGTCTACCTGGGACACACCTGAGGGAGCGGCACCCTGAGGGGGGAGGGGGTCTACTACAGTAGCACCTGGAGCGAGGAAGAGAGGCGGGGGGGGGAGCGGGGCAGTGCGGTAGGGGAAGAGGCGGTAGTAGGGGACGGACTCGTCAAAAGTGACGTCCTGAAAGGGCAGGACACGACGCGAGGTGGGGTGGTAAAACTGCCAACCAGACGCGTCCGGGACAAAGCCAAGGAAGACGCAAGGAACAGCGCGGGAGGAGAGCTTGTCCGCGGACGTGTCGCGAACAAAAGCTCGAGATCCCCAGACCCGAAAACGCGACGCATCACCAACCTCTCCCGTCCAACGCAGTGTCGGCGAAGTCTCCTGAACGGAGACACGGGGCCAGAGGTTGAGCTGATGCGCAGCGTATCGGACCGCAAACGGCCACAGAAAGTGGGGGGCAGCCGCATGGATCAAGGAGGTACGAGCGACCTCCATGACCAAGCCAATGCGGTGCTCAGCAACCCCATTCTGCTGTGGAGAGGCTGGAAGCGTGAACGACTGCTCAATGCCCTGCCCCTGACAGTAGGCCCTCAAGAGGTCGGAGGAAAACTCCCCACCTCTGTCAGAGTGCAGACGTAGTAGACATCACATACATGGCACCAAGGATAGCATCAAAGTCAAGAGCATAGACATCAATGTTTTTCTTGATCAGATCAAACCAACGAGGCAGCTCAGTAGCAGCCGGAAACTGGGTGCGCCAGGCGTCGTCGAGGCGGGAGAAGCAGCGCTGCAGGGTGTGCGCCCTCCCACACGGCTGACCAGCGCGGTCACCTGTGCGGATGACGTACGGGCAGCTAAGACCACCCCCCCCACGCTGAGAGTACCACTCACGGAGTTCCTGGGGCGACAGGGTCTGCTGCTGGCGCAGGCCACCGCCCGAGCTGCCACGAGCTCCACTGCCTCCGCCGCCCCCACGACCACCACTGCCACCGCGGCCGCCGCCGCCACCACCACTGCCCCAACCCCGGCCACCTCCTCCACCACTGCCGCCACCACCCCCGCCGCTGCCGCCACCACTCCCGCCGCTGCCGCCACCACCCCCGCCGCTGCCATCACCACCCCCGCCGCTGCCACTGGCCCCTCCAGCCCCGCCACCACCCCCACCGCCCCCACCGCCCCAACCACCGCCGCCCCCATCATCACCGCCGCCCCCCTTGCCCCCTTTGCCCTTGCCGCTGCGGCGCCTCGCACTCGCAGTAGACGCAGTCCCGACCTTCTCAGCACCGAGAAGGTCGACAGCAGCAGCAGAGGCAACAGAGGGAAGAAGAGGGGAGGGGGAACACCCCTCAAAGAAGGGGGTGCGGGGGTCGCCTCGAGACGCACCGACAGCTACTGTACTAGACTCGGCTGCCAGCAGGTGCTTCTCAAGCAGGTCAATGGTGAGCTCGGTGGGGCACATGGCAAGGAAGGTGTTCCTGACCGCACGAAGGGAGTCAGGGAGACGGGTGACCAGGTGGTAAAGAGTGAGCCACAGCGGGGGGGGATTCTTGGCAAGAAACTCAGCGGGCATGGCAGCACGGAAGCGGATCTCAGTAGTGCGAAGGTGAGTAATGAGGTCGGCAACGGTAGAGAATGTGGCCAAGTCTGGGAACAGGTAGGGCAGTGAGAGGCGGCCTAGCGCAGCAGAGGCAGGTGAGGAGTAGCGAGCAACGACAGCTTTGTACAGTGACTGAGCAGTCTTCTGCTGGCTAAAGTGCTCGCGTTCATCTACCGGCAGGGAGTTGCGAATGGCGAAGCGAGAGTGGGCGTCACGAGTCTGCCACTGTGAGCGGGTAGTACTATCAGCTGTCTCAGCCGGGGCAGGAGCGAGGCCTAACGCATGGTCATACAGTGAGATATCCTCCTTAGCAGTGAGCTGGAGGAAGAGATGGAGGTCATCGAGCCAGGTGTCAAAGCGGATCGGGCGGCCCTCAGCATCGAAAGCTAGAACTGCAGGACTAGCCATAGTTTCAGTAGGAGCAGTAGGAAGAGTAGGAACAGTATGTACAGTAGTAGCAGTGTGACAGCACAGTGCGGCTCGGGCAGGGCGGCGCGGCGCGGCTCGGGCAAGGCGGCGTGGCGCGGCTCGGGCAGGGCGGCGCGGCGCGGCTCGGGCAGGGCGGCGCGGCGGCTTGCTCTTGCGGATGTGCGCGTGACTGCACGCACCCCCTAGCGCGGAGGTGTGCATGCGGTTGCGTGGGCGGCCGTGCGCTTGCAGCTGTGCGTGCGGCTGCGTGTGCGGCCGTGCGTGCGGTCGTGGGTGCGGCCGTGCTTGCGGTCGTGCGTGCGGCCGTGCGTGCGGTCGTGCGTGCGGCCGAGCGTGCAGCTGCGCGTGCGGCTGTGCGGGCGGCCGCGCGCAGCTGCGCTAGCTGCTGCGCGTGCTGTCGTACGTGCGGCTGCGCGTGCGGCCTATCGTGCGGCTGCGCGTGTGGCGGAGTAGGCAGCTGCGCGTGCGGCTGACGGGCGGCTCGTGCGGCTGTGCTAAGGGCGCACGACGACGCTAGGAAGAGGGGGGGGCTCGACGGCGCAAGGAGGAGGGGCGCACGACGGCGCTAGGAGAGGAGGCGCGCGACGGCGCTAGGAAGCGAGGCGCTCAACGGCGCGGCGGAACGGTGGGCCCTACCGAACGTGGGTCCTAGGTCCTAACCTAGGCGTCGGATACCATGTTAGAAGATAGTACTGCACGAGAATGAATGAACTAGAAAGAAGTTGGGTACAAGTATGAAACCCTAAGTTTGTTGTACCCCCTAAGGCTAAACCCACTATAGCCTACACAATATAAACATATAATGTTTGACAATCATCACTTATATTTACGCATTTACATCACATATTCTAAACCTCTTGTTTTATTCCCTCATCCTGCCCCATGTATCCTCCACCTGCCCCTGCTCATTCGCAGTCACTTTTCAGGGGTAATCTGCCCAACAGACAACACCAGCTGTCAAATCAATCAGGACCGTTCATCCAAGTTTTGCGCCTTCTGTTCAACGTTCTGCTCCACGTGTATCCCAATCAACGGTCAGGATCGCTCTGATCATGCACCTAGCACTGTACTGCTACCATCACATCACACCATGCACGTGCCCCTGGCAATTCTATGACCGTATGGCTCACGCTATCACTCCGAAAATCTGTCCTCTATCATTCCCCGCGAATTCCTCCCAACCTTCCCTTCCATTCTCAAAGTCCATCACATCACATCCGCCCACCCATCCCCTGTTTCCCCCATCCCAACCCCACCCGTCCCCCAGTGCCAATCTCCAGCCCGCCTCCCCCTTCCCCTCCTCCCCCTCCACCATCCCCCTCCCCCCCGCCTCCTCCCCCCACCATCACCGTCCTTCTCGCCTCCCCTTCCCCTCCTCCCCCTCCGCCCTCCACCCTCCCACTGTCCGCGATTGTGGGGGCAGTAGTGGGTGCAGTGGGGCTGCTGCTGCTGCTGCTGCTGGTGGTGGCAGTGGGATGGGGGGTATGGAGGTGGAGGAAGGGGAGGGAGCAGACAGAGCAAGACTCAAGGGAGTGGGGAGGGGTAAGGGAGGAAGGGGAGATTTTGAGGGCGTATACAATAAAGACACGATTGCATGATGACAAGATTGCATGATGACAGGATTGCATGATGACAGGGTAGCATGATGACAAGATAGCATGATGACAGGGTAGCATGATTGATGGGGTAGCATGATTGACAGGGTAGCATGATTGACAGGATAGCATGATGGTTGATGGTTTATGATTTTAACGCAATGTGTTGGCATGTGGCGCAAGGGGAGGTAGAGAAAGGGATGTGGGGGAGAAGGGGGAAGGTTGCGCCTATGCACAAATGCTGCACGTGCATCGCTTGCATGCGCGGACACACACGCAGAACTCGCGTGTAGGGGGGGGTGCGGAGGAAGAGAGGGGACAGATGTCACCTCTCTTTTCCCCTACCTCGATGTTTTGTCGAGGGATGTAGATTTTCAAGTCGAACACGCTCTAAGAGATTCACTCTGGTATGGTAGTTAGATGCAGAGCAACACACCACGATTCTTCTTGTTGACAGACACCTGACAACACACCTTCCCGCGTTTCCCTGTATCGAGAATTTGTCGCCTTATCAAAAACTGCGGTTTGCGCGGTACGTGACAAACATCTGAGGTGACTCAATGCCAAGTTGCGAGGTGCGTGTGAGATGTGAATGGAGCAGGAGGTCAAGTTTTTGAAAGTCCCACTCCCAACCAATGCAATGCCCCCACACATTCCACAGGCAGTCTCCTGGGTCGACGGCAAGCCTGGAACTCGCGCACTCACTTCCCATCCACCGCACTGCACCACGGCCTCAGCAAGCATCTGGCTACGACGACCACTGTATTATATTCTTCAGCGCCACCACGAGGCCCTCACCATGATCGCCTGGCCTTGGGAAGCACTGTCTCGCCTCTCGGAGACGCCGTCGCCGCGATGGGCTCTGCAAAAACGGCTCACTCGCGGTCGCGGGTCTTTGCATCAGTCCTTCCGTGTTTCGCGGCGGTCGTCGTCGCTCTCCTTCCGCGTGTCGTCCAGGCTGTGACGGTGCCTCTCGCCGACTCCCAAGGTGCGTCATGCGCGCAGAATCTCTACTAGGGTGTGAACCACACAAGCAGCAAGCTAAGGCGCGCCTATTTCGGTTCTCCTGTTATGGAGCCACTCGCCGACTCCCAATGTGCACTACGCGCGAAGAGTTTCTAGGGTTCAAACCACAGCAAGCCCCCGTTTGGAACAGTGGTATAGGCCGGCATGGAGCGTTATAGAAGTCGTATTTCTCTAAGCTAAGCCCTCGTGTGCTCGCTCGCACGACAAGGTTCCAGCAGAGCCTAAGCGCCGTGCCAATTTCAGCTGTCCGTAGTAGCTGAATCTAACGCAGCACCGTTTAGCTTATCTTTGGTTCAGCTAGCCTCGCATTCTCGGCCAAATTCGCTCTTGGATTTTCACGATGGACCTCCTGGCTTTTCCGTCCTATCGTACCCTGCTGCCGTCCTCGCGTCCCTGGTCTCCTCTACCTCTCCCTCTCCCTCTTCCTCTCCCTCTCCCTCTCCCTCTTCCTCACCCTCTCCCTATCCCTCTCCGTCTTCCTCACCCTCTCCCTCCCTCTCCTTCCCTCTCTCTTCTCCCTCTCCCTCCCTCTCCCTCTTCCTCCCCCTCTCCCTCTCCCTCTCCCTCTCCCTCACCTCTCCCTCTCCCTTAGCTCTTAAATCCCGTATTCCTGCTGTTCGCTGCGCCGTTTCCCCTCAATTTTCCCGCAATGGGCGCGCAGCGGCGGCGCTGAAGGAGTGCGCGACGGAATGGGGGATGAGCGCGGCGGGGTGGGCGCAAGGCGCGGCGTGCGCGGCGGAGACAATCACGTGCGACGGCGACGGCATGGTCAAGTCGCTGTCAGTGCATGGGGGGGCGGCAGCGTGGGGGGGGAAGCGCGGGGGGAAGCGCGGGGGGCGGATCTGGGGAGCAGAGCAAGGGCAAAAGCGCGGGGCATGATGGGGGGAGCAGCAGGGCATAGCAATTGCGCAAGGGTGAAAGGCGGGAGGGCAATGAGAGCGAAAGCCGGGCGCACATGCTACATTGAATTGAATGGCGCCCTGTGATGGTGCTGCTGCTGCTGCTGCCACTCCACATGCATGGACTGACGCCTTGTGAACCATGACTCTCTCTCCTCGCTTGCTTCGTTCATCCATCGTGCCACCTCACCTGCATCATTGCTCACTCGCTGCCTGCCCCTCCTCCCCAAACTTCCCATCGTTTCACTGCGAATCGGCCAGGACTCTGTTTTTTAAGAACCTCACCGGCTCCATCCCCCTCGCCCTCACCGCGCTCTCCCGCCTGGAATCGCTGTGAGTCGCACACACGCTGTGAGTCGCACACACGCTGTGAGTCGCACACACGCTGTGAGTCGCACACACGCTGTGAGTCGCACACACGCTGTGACACGCATATGAATCAGCAGCGGCCGGCCCGGAGCTTGTGAGTCGCCTCGCCCTGCCCCTACCTCCCCTCTCACTCGCTCTCTCCCCACCAGGTCACCCATCACATCACCATCCCTCCTTCCCTCTCTTGCCCTCCTTCAGTCCAACAGTCTGTCCGGCGCACTGAGAGGCGCACTGAGAGGCGCACTGAGAGGCGCACTGAGAGGGACCCCTGTAAGGCGCACTGCTCCCATGCATGTGCACATGGCAGGCATGTGCGCGTCACAGGTTATGTGCGCGTCGCAGGTTATGTGCGCCTAGATGGCTGTTTGAGACGCCAGGGCTGTGGCTGACTGTGGCAGCACTCTGCCTTGTGCCATGCAACCCTCTGTGTGTCTGTGCACACATGCATGCGTATGTTTGTGTTCGTGTGTCTGCCAATGTGTACGCTTATTCTTGTGTTTCTGTTGTCTGTCGATGTGCATCTCCGCATCTGTGCAAGTGAGTAAGTGTGTGTGTGTGTGTGTGTGTGTGTGTGTGTGTGTGTGTGTGTGTGTGTGTGTGTGTGTGTGTGTGTGTGTGTGTGTGTGTATGTGTGTGTGCGTGCGCGTGCGTGCGTGCGTGCGTGCGTGCGTGTGTTTACGTGTGCGTGCATGCATGCAGGAGGCTGGCCGACAACCACCTCACGGGTCCTGTCTTCACTGTCCTTGCACAAATGCCATCGCTCCTCGAACTGTAACCACCCACCACATTCTTGAACTCCCTTCCCTTTCACCTACTGCACTGCCTGTCATGGGCCGGCGTCCAGCCGTGGGGCTTCATTGCACTGCCCTGATCTTCAGACATAATTCTCAGGGAGCAGCAGTAATCAAGCTAGGCTTAAAGCAAAAGATAAAACAGCTAGTATTGTACTCGCTGTGTAAGACTAAGCGTTCAAACAGCTAGTATTGCACTGCGTGTCATGGGCCGGCTTCCAGCCGTGGGGCTCATCATACATTGCACTGCCTGCAACATATCCTCCTCCTCCTCCTCCTCCTCCTCCTCCTCCTCCTCCTCCTCCTCCTCCTCCTCCTCCTCCTCCTCCTCCTCCTCCTCCTCTGTACCCTCCTGATCTTCCCTTCTCCCTTCTGCTCATCTTCCCGTCTCGTCCATACCGATCTTTCTCCCCTTTCCTCCCTACACCTCCCTGTCTTCACCTTCCTCTCACCATCTACCTCTCTTCCACATTCGCATCTGCTCCACAATCTCTCCCCCTTTCCTCCGCCGTCCCCCACTCCCCCCACCCCTCCAGCGAGCTCTATAGCAACAACTTCACAGGGCCCGTTCCTCTCACCGTCTCGCGCCTGCAGAAACTGTCGCATCTGTCAGTCTCTCGCCCGCCCTCGCATCTCACTCCCTCTTTGCACCCCCTTTCCCGCTCGCACTGCTTCTCCGTCTCTCTTGCTCTCTCTGCCATACGCTGCCCTCCTGGCGTCTCTTTTTCTATCCATCTTCCTTTCAGGTGACCTGCCTCTCCCACCGCCCCTTTCGTTCTGCCTCTCCCACCGCCCCTTTCGTTCTGCCCCTCCCACCGCCCCTTTCGTTCTGCCCCTCCCCGCAGTGATCTAAAGTCCAACAACTTTCACGGGCCGCTGCCGCAAGCCTTCACCCGCCTCACTGCCCTCACCCACCTGTGCGTCGCTCCTCTCCCCACCCTCCCTCCCCACCCTCTCTCCCCACCCTCTCTCTCCACCCACTCTCCCCACCCTCTCTCTCCACCCTCTCTCTCCACCCTCTCTCTCCACCCTCTCCTCTCCACCCTCTCTCTCCACCCTCTCTCCCCACCCTCTCTCCCCACCCTCTCTCTCCACCCTCTCTCCCCACCCTCTCTCCCCACCCTCTCTCCCCACCCTCTCTCTCCACCCTCTCTCCCCACCCTCTCTCCGCACCCTCTCTCTCCACCCTCTCTCCCCACCCTCTCTCCCCACCCTCTCTCCCCACCCTCTCTCTCCACCCTCTCTCCCCACCCTCTCTCCCCACCCTCTCTCCCCACCCTCTCTCCCCACCCTCTCTCTCCACCCTCTCTCCCCACCCTCTCTCTCCACCCTCTCTCCCCACCCTCTCTCTCCACCCTCTCCTCTCCACCCTCTCCTCGCCACCCTCTCTCTCCACCCTCTCTCTCCACCCTCTCCTCTCCACCCTCTCCTCTCCACCCTCTCTCTCCACCCTCCCCTCTCCACCCTCTCTCTCCACCCTCTCCTCTCCACCCTCTCTCTCCACCCTCTCTCTCCACCCTCTCCTCTCCACCCTCTCTCTCCACCCTCTCTCTCCACCCTCTCTCCCCACCCTCTCTCCCCACCCTCTCTCTCCACCCTCTCCTCTCCACCCTCTCCTCGCCACCCTCTCTCTCCACCCTCTCTCTCCACCCTCTCCTCTGCACCCTCTCCTCTCCACCCTCTCTCTCCACCCTCCCCTCTCCACCCTCTCTCTCCACCCTCTCCTCTCCACCCTCTCTCTCCACCCTCTCTCTCCACCCTCTCTCCCCACCCTCTCTCTCCACCCTCTCTCCCCACCCTCTCTCTCCACCCTCTCTCTCCACCCTCTCCTCTCCACCCTCTCTCTCCACCCTCTCCTCTCCACCCTCTCTCTCCACCCTCTCCTCTCCACCCTCTCCTCTCCACCCTCTCTCTCCACCCTCTCCTCTCCACCCTCTCTCTCCACCCTCTCCTCTCCACCCTCTCTCTCCACCCTCTCTCTCCACCCTCTCTCTCCACCCTCTCCTCTCCACCCTCTCTCTCCACCCTCTCCTCTCCACCCTCTCTCTCCACCCTCTCTCCCCACCCTCTCTCCCCACCCTCTCTCTCCACCCTCTCTCCCCACCCTCTCTCCCCACCCTCTCTCTCCACCCTCTCTCCCCACCCTCTCCTCTCCACCCTCTCTCTCCACCCTCTCCTCTCCACCCTCTCTCTCCACCCTCTCCTCTCCACCCTCTCTCTCCACCCTCTCCTCTCCACCCTCTCTCTCCACCCTCTCCTCTCCACCCTCTCTCTCCAACCTCTCTCCCACCCTCTCTCCCACCCTCTCTCCCCACCCTCTCTCCCCACCCTCTCTCCCCACCCTCTCTCTCCACCCTCTCCTCTCCACCCTCTCTCTCCACCCGCTCCTCTCCACCCTCTCTCTCCACCCTCTCCTCTCCACCCTCTCCTCTCCACCCTCTCTCTCCACCCTCTCCTCTCCACCCTCTCTCTCCACCCTCTCCTCTCCACCCTCTCTCCCCACCCTCTCTCCCCACCCTCTCTCTCCACCCTCTCTCCCCACCCTCTCTCCCCACCCTCTCTCTCCACCCTCTCTCCCCACCCTCTCTCTCCACCCTCTCTCCCCACCCTCTCTCCCCACCCTCTCTCCCCACCCTCTCTCTCCACCCTCTCTCTCCACCCTCTCTCCCAACCCTCTCTCCCCACCCTCTCTCTCGACCCTCTTTCTCCACCCTCTCTCCCCACCCTCTCTCCCCACCCTCTCTCTCCACCCTCTCTCCCCACCCTCTCTCCCCACCCTCTCTCTCCACCCTCTCTCCCCACCCTCTCTCTCCCCCCTCTCTCCCCGCCCTCTCTCTCCACCCTCTCCTCTCCACCCTCTCCTCTCCACCCTCTCTCTCCACCCTCTCCTCTCCACCCTCTCCTCTCCACCTTCTCTCTCCACCCTCTCCTCTCCACCCTTTCTCTCCACCCTCTCCTCTCCACCCTCTCTCTCCACCCTCTCCTCTCCACCCTCTCTCTCCACCCTCTCTCCCCACCCTCTCTCCCCACCCTCTCTCCCCACCCTCTCTCCCCTCCCTCTCTCCCCACCCTCTCTCCCCACCCTCTCTCTCCACCCTCTCTCCCCACCCTCTCTCCCCACCCTCTCTCCCCACCCTCTCTCCCCACCCTCTCTCCCCACCCTCTCTCCCCACCCTCTCTCTCCACCCTCTCTCCCCACCCTCTCTCCCCACCCTCTCTCTCCACCCTCTCTCCCCACCCTCTCTCCCCACCCTCTCTCCCCACCCTCTCTCCCCACCCTCTCTCTCCACCCTCTCTCCCCACCCTCTCTCCCCACCCTCTCTCTCCACCCTCTCTCCCCACCCTCTCTCCCCACCCTCGAACAGTCCGTCGTATTAGTATCACCAAGGTACACAGAGGAGAAGGTAGAACACCACACACAACAAAGCTACAAAGGCAATCTCCTATCCTAACACCACTACAGCCGCGCCCTTTCCCTTCCGGCCCTAGTGGCCGGAGGGGTCTTCTATCAATTGGTACAGCTGGCCCTCGCTCAGTGGAGTGAATGGTCCCTGCAGGCCTAGCGCATCCGCGGTGAGAGCCTCATGGGTCTTATCCCTGAGGGCGTTGGCTTGGGCTCTCTGCAGGGTCACGCTCCATCGCTGGCGGTACTCGGTAAGTAGTTTCGCCACCTCCCTCGACTTTGGGGAGGCGTTAAACCGCCGCTTTGCCGCTAGCTCCGCGCAGCTGCGAAGGAAATCCAGGACTCTAGGTGAGGGGTAGCCGTAAGTCTCCACGGCCATGGCGTAGAAGCCAACCCACGGGCTTCGCCCGGCGTATTTTGTCTCCTTCTTGTCCGCTTGCATCCTAGCCGCCCACCCGGGCCCTTACGCGCGTACTCGTCCTGGTGGGAGACGGGGTCTGTGACTGTGATGTCACAAATCCACACTGCACCGGTGTCGGGATGGCGGATAGAGATATCCGCTTTGAGGTTTTCGACCGGTGAGTATGCCGTTGTCTCCTTGTGCACCGTGAATCCCGCTTCAGCCGCTATCTTCGCGCACTCGTCGCGCAGGGCATTGTGAGTGCTAATTCTCCCCCCCCCTTTCTCACACCGCATCAAGTGGTTCGGCAGTCGATCGTCCGGGAAGGTGGTGCGGTATCTGCAGTTGCAGTGTCTCGGCACAGGTAAGGGCAGTCCCAGGCGGAAGGATGCCGCGGTGGAGAACTGAGAGGGTCCGAGGCGGAGGGAAGAGATCAGGGGAATGGCAAGCAGCCAATCCCCCGCCCCCGGGCCTAAGAGGGACTGTAATCTCTGTGTGTGGCCAAACAGTGGGTTCAGATCCATGTTCCGTGAGCTGTCCAGCAGTCGGATGTAGCGGGCGGTGTGCACCGCGAGGGAGAGAGCTTGCTGCAGTTTTGGCCCGTTAGGCTTTTGTCTCCCAGTTTGCAGGGCCTCTATTCCGTCCGGTGGCAGCTCGGCTTCCAGGGTAGCGAGGCGTCGTGGGAGGAGGGAAGTGGATTCACCGTCAGCGTCCATCAGTGGCAGCAGTCCTGCTAGGGCCGGGTTTGCCGCGTCGCCGAAGGAGCGTAGCAGGTGGGAGGCCGATACAACTGATGCCAGGTAGGCGAATCTCCCTTCCACTGCAGGGTTGGTAATGCCGAGGCCTCCTAGGGACGCGGGCAGTGCGGCTTGGTGCCAGATCCTGTCCCTCTCTGCCCGGTCCCTGGGGATACTTGTGTGTGCCACGGCCAGGTAGGTGTGGAGCAGTTCTTCCCCCCAGGCCGACCACTCCTCCAACGGAAGGGCCTCAGGGGGCATGGCTCTGACCAGGAACGAGGCGCGGCGGCTCACGCAGCGGGTGAGTAGTAGCAGGCAGAGTTGGGGGTCCATCTGGGCGAGGAGCGCGAGAGGTTCGGCAGCTGCTGCGAGACGCTCGCGAACTCGGGCCGCGCAGCCTGTGGGGGGGCCAATGGGGCTGCCTAGGACGCGGACTCCATCTTGTGATATCGTGATGCCAGCAGGTAAGGTGGAGGGGTCAAGTGCAGCTGCGAACCACGCCTCGCATTTTGCCGGGTTGTGGGCCAGCCCATGGAGGCGGAGGGCTTCCGTGAGGTGTGCAAATGCTGCCGTGCAGTTGGCCGCCTCCCCAAGCAGAGTGATGTCATCTGCATACGCCAGAAACACCACGTCCAGATGTGCCGCCGCTGATTGGCTGCAAACAGCATGGGTCCCAGCGGGTCCCCCTGACGAACGCCCCGTGCGCTCTTAAGAGGTTTTGCTCCGAAGTCATGGTCGAGATAGAGCGCTGATGGGTTGCCGTAAGAGAAGCGAACGAGGGGCACTAAGACCTCGAGGTCGGTGCCTTTCAAGCCCTCGAACACTGCCGCGCGCTCGACTGCGTTGAAGGCGTTGGCCAGGTCTATCTGCAGCGCCGTCGCTCCTGGGAATTGCTCCAGGTAGGTGCGTGCAGTGTGTATTGCCGCCTCTATTCCTCCCGTGATTGCTACTCCAAACTGTAGCGGGGTGAAGTGCTCGCGCGCCGCTGGTGCGGCTAGGAAAAGGGCCGCCTTGGCCACGAGGCGTAGTAGGCATTCACCTACTGCTATCGGCCGCGTTCCACCCTGTGGTTTCGAGAAGGCAAGCAGCCGTGACGCTGTTAGGAGATCCGCCACGTCCGCCGTCAGCTTTCCAGCGAGTGCCGTGTTGGTAAGTGCATGCAACTGCAGGAAAACGTCTCCGTTCCCGAGGGCCACGTCTCTAAGGTGCTCAAAGGTGGTGCCTGAGGGCCCAGCCCCTAGTCCGTTGGGGCATTTTGCCAGCAGTCGCCTGAAATCCCGGGCAGCGATGGAAGGGACGTTCTCTGGGGCGAAGTCGTGCCCCCAGGAAGGGATGGCCATGGCGGCGTCTGGGTGTCTGGCCGTGAGCGCGCTGAGG